ATATTATTTTAGATGTTAATCTCAACAGTGTTGACAACAACAAGCAAACAAAGAACAGCAAGCTAGTAGGTAATATTCACACCTAACTAGAAGTATGCATGAGGTTGAATGTCTAGCTTCATTTTATTCTTCTGCTCCCTCTGGAGCATATTGACCATAGACAGACAAACATATACAGGCAACTGCCAAAATAAAAGAAACACCAACATAAAGTGTCTTAATAGGGCGTTGGGCCACCACGAACCGCCAGAACAGCTTCAATGCGCCTTGGCATAGATTCTACAAGAGTCTGGAACTCTATTGGAGGGATGTGACACCATTCTTCCATGAGAAATTCCATAATTTGGGGTTTTGTTGATGGTGGTGGAAAATGCTGTCTCAGGTGCCGCTACAGAATCTCCCATAAGTGTTCAATTGGGATGAGATCTGGTGACTGAGACACACACACACGCACACCCACACAGACACACACACACACACCCTTTAAACCCCCTATGCTCCTTTGAGCCCCCTCTATCAAAGGCACTGAGATTTATTCTAGCCATGGTAGACAAAATAATGGGCAACTGGGCATTTTTATACATGACCGTAAGCATGATGGGATGTTAATTGCTTAATTAACTCAGGAACCACACCTGTGTGGAAGCACCTCCTTTCATTATACTTTTCATCCCTCATTTACTCAAGTGTTTCCTTTATTTTGAGAGTTAACTGTAGTAACTATAAGAGTATAAAAACTCTAGTCCTCCCAACCATCATCTCACCATCAGTGAAACACTGCTTTAGATGCAATCCCTGGAGTGGCCAACAGATGGCAGAATACCATTACATTTAATTCCATTGGCAAGAGACTGAACTGTAGGGCTGCTGTCGCATTATGACAATTTACAAGCAACTTCATCTATTGAAAAATATAATGCACATATATAACAATGTTTTTATGAAGTTTATGTAAGTTTATTAATTCAATTCACTATAACTACCACAAAAGGACTTTCTAAAGTACCCCTAAATGGAGGTAGCAGTAATGTAACCACTATTAACAGATCAATTGCTGATTTGGCACCAGCTGCTGACTATAAAGGCAGTGATAGACAGATAGTAAGGTCTGAATTGCTTTTGTGATGAACAGGGATCCAGAGTTTTTAGTCCTCTACTTGCAGTTTCCCTCTGAAATTAACAGACTGATGGAATTATTTGATTTGAGAAGGTGGACTGGAAATGGGTTATTGACATGTATAATGATCTTGCAATGGTCACTTTCATTTGCCACTGCTCTGAGCTTCTATGTGCAGAGCTGTTGCCATAGGAAATTATGTTGGTGTTACATCTTCATTTGACCCTAATGTGCCGTTAGTAACATGGCTTATGCGCTTCAGCTGCCTCATCTCATAGATTTACTCAACTTTTTTTCTTATACTTTATGCATTATTTGACCAAGACAATCACTGTTAATGTTGTATTAAGAAGACTATTTTACATAAAACCTCTTATCTTACAGTTTAAAGAATTTGAGTTTCATCTGTCCATCAGAAGAAATATGTTGAATTACCGCCTCAAAACTAATATAACCAGCTTGCTCATCAACAAATCTGATCCCTCATAGGCATCTATTCCACTTTCAGAGGATTAAATAGCTTTGCACTTAGATGAATAATCTTCACTCTGCATATGTCTTGGCCCAAGTTATTTAATTTGTGAGTTTATGTATCGTGGCTAAGGGTCCAGTTCACTATGTGCTATACTGTTAGGATTCCGAGGATCCACAACGTGGCATTACGAATGTTGTCCCTCTAAACTGTAAGGATGACTCAACAACAAAGCTGTATAATGTTTCTGACAGACAAATATCCTCTCAAACAGCTAATGGTAAGTCTCAGTTCTACAGCAGATGTTCAAATGAAACATTAACTTCCTTGCCTAGTTTTAAAATTCAGGACGCCAACTTCATTTTGTTTATCCCTGTGAGATTATTATTTTAGATCCAGCAAACATAAACCAGAGTGCATATTAAGATTCAAAGTATTACAAAGGTTTAGACGTGCATTCGGAAAGTATTTAGACCCCTTTACCTTTTCCACATTTTGTTATGTTAAAGCCTTATTCTAAAATTGATTAAATAAAACATTTTCCTCATCAATCTACACACAATAAACAAAGCGAAAACAGGTTTTAAGATTTTTTTGCAAATTTATAACAAATAAAAAACAGAAATACCTTATTTATAAGTGTTTAGACCCTTTGCTATGAGACTCGAAATTGAGCTCAGGTGCATCCTGTTTCCATTGATCATCCTTGAGATGTTTCTACAACTTGATTGGAGTCCACCTGTGGTAAATTCAATTGATTGGACATGATTTAGAAAGGCACACACCTGTCTATATAAGGTCCCACAGTTGACAGTGCATGTCAGAGCATAAACCAAGCCATGAGATCTAAGGAATTTTCTGTAGAGCTCCGAGACAGGATTGTGTCGAGGCACAGATCTGGGCACAGATCTTTTTACACAAGCCAGGCATTATCATACCAGATGTCATTGAATTCACTACACATATGTTAAGTAAACTGAATTAAATAGGGTCAAATTAACAGTGTAAATCTAATGACAGTGGCACTAGCCTTACAGGGTCAATGATGATGAGGAGCAGCTGGAATCAGAGATCCAGTAGTGGTGATTCAGGATGGACAGAGTGCTGCTGATACACTATAGGACAGGGATCATCAACTAGATTCAGCCGTGGGCCAATTTTTTTCTTGAGCGGCTGTTCAGGGGGCCGGAACATAATTACATATAATTTGTAGACTGCAAATTGACCGGAAGAAGCTGAAACAGGTATAATGTTTGACTAAAACAAAATCATTTCAAACCTTGCTTACATTTGTATAGATCACGTCGTGTCTCTCTATTATGTGTGGGAGTACTTGGGAACAGATTTCTTAAATTAAAATAACTTTGAGCTGATTTCCTGGTGTTTTTAATAATAATAAAAAAATGTGCTCAGTACTTGGGGGGCCAAATAAAACCACCCGTGGGCCGCCAGTTGGGGAACCCTGCTATAGGAGATTAGTGTTGAGCAAGCTGCATCCCCACATCTAGCTATTAGTACTAAAATAGGCCTAATACCATTTATAAAGTGGTCAAGCTGCTTAACATTCCAAATGAAATACAACACTTATTTGGAATGTTTTAACATTCCTATTATGCTACCTCTAGTAATGCTATTTCCTTATCATTATTATTTATGTATGATTGTTTCTGTCAATTAGTAATTGCCAGTATTTTCCCTCTCCTGTGACACAGGCAGCCCAATTCTGATCTGTTTCCACTAATTGGTCTTTTGACCAATCAGATCAGCTCTTTTGCCAATAATTGGGCAAAAGATCAGAATTGGGCTGCCTGTGTAAACGTAGCCAAATATTATTATAATAATCTGGGAAGCGTCCAGTGTGCAAACATGGTGATGCCTACTGCCACTGAGGAGTGAATCTGATTCAACATGCAATCTGATGGATCCCATCTTGCATCCACTCTTGATAAATCTCATCTAAATCTAAAATCCCTCACATCACGTTGACCTAATGTGAACCAATGCATGTACGTTAGCTCAACTTTGCAGCTAGCAGTATGTGCATACATAAAAAAGCTGGGATGGTTAAGGGATCTAAACATCTAAAACGAAGGGATAAAACAGCATTACTGGAGCCTGATGAGGTTCTGGGTAAGTATCAGAGCAGACGCCTTTAATACAGGCTGAGAACAGCTCATCTGGGCTGTTTCACTGGCTCTCCCATATGGTCCTCATGCACTGGCCCCATAGTTTAATTTGAGAGATTGAAGCCTCTCAATTGCAACGGATTGCAGGCAGAACACAGTGCCGCATTTGGCTGCCCTGGGAACAGGCAGAGCGTGGAGTTATAGGACCAGCTAGCCACCTTCTAATGAGCATGACCAATGGAGCATCATGCACAGGGAATGACAACAAGGACAACTCTGGTGGTTTTTCGAGCATCCTTTGTCTGGTACAGCAGTCCAGGACTTACTTCTTACAGCTTACTGAAGATGGAAATATCATAAGTAAGCCCAGGTAGTGAATTTCAATAATTATAGACCTACAGCTTCTCTCGTACAGGTTCACCTGGCCACTTGGCTTTGTGATAAGGTAATACACAAAATAATGTAACAGCAGACCTCATTAAAAAAAATGTTTTAATACTTTGTATTGCATATTATACAGACTATGAAACAAAAACACAAAACATTTTAAGACTACATGAAAGTATATTTTAACAGAGCCTTTGTGAGCCTTTTCTAGCTCCATTATATACAGCATAAGAACAACGTAAGACAACTTTTTCATTATTGTGTGTTCCAAATTAGTGGAATAATGTTTTCCCTTTCTTACATCATCATCCCAAAGTCTTCAGGGGAGCGACTATACAAGAAACACAGTCAGCATCAACACTATGGATGCTGTGAATTCAATATACAGTACAGTATAGTTTCAGAGATTGCTACTTATATATCAACAAACATATATATCAACAAATGTCCTAAATGGTTCATTCTAACAAACACAAGTATGCACTTTGCATACTGAATGAGTAGTTTAAGAATATTCAATGATAGACATTTGTAAAGTGGGTTTCTTCTAGTTATAGGGGTTGTCAGCAATATACATCTGTATGGACTGCTAACCCCATATTAAACAATTTTCAACACTATGTAAGCATCAATATTTGTATGAATGTCAGGGAGTAAGAAAGACAGAAAGTGCATTGGGGTTTTTCTTAGTCAATAAAATACAAATGTAGTTATTTCATCTTTCCAATAGGAAGACCAGTATAAAGCAGGTCATTTTAGAACAGTATAATAGAGATCTAGGACGTTCAACATGTAAAAACCTCTCAGAGAACACTGTAATACTGATCGATCTAGTTGAATCCATACAGATGTTTAGAGCACAGTCAAGGGCACTGCACAGTCTGTACAAAGTGAGGGTCTATGGACTCTTGGGCTCTTCCACTGGACTCAAAGGGCCACTAGATTTTTCCTCTGTCGCCTGTCTCTCCACTTTGCTCTCTGGTCTCTCGCATGTAACAGTCCCGAGCACCTTGGCACTGTGCTCCTGTGCTTTTGCCCTGAGTGCTGCGATGCTGTTCTCCCTCAGTTCCTCTTTGGAAATCGGTGACTTGCCCTCCGCCCTCTTCTCCTCCACGTCGCACTCTTCTGCCCTCTGAATGGCTGGCTGCTGGGGAACGTCGGACTTCCCTGTTGGCTGGACGACCGTGGTCTCCATGGACTTTTTGTGCATCCCTGTAAAGAATTGTGGGTATTCGGATTTAGAAAAGCGTCTGCTGATTGGAAAGCCATCTTGAACTGAAAATAGTAAGCAAAGAAATAGTTCTGATTTAGCTATAGGAATATGATCTTCAAATTGAGGATGCATAATAAGTGTAAACTGATAGTAAATATTTGCTGAATTGTTTCTTTTCCCACTAAGCAATAAGTCAATATGATATCTTGATCATTTCAGAGTCATTTGATGAAAATATGAAATCAAGTATGAAATGGTCTGTTTGGCCTCTTCCCTGAATGACGAGGAACACAACCCACAATCACAAGTAAAAAAGTAGATTGTGGAGAATATAATGAGAGTAAGCATGGAGGGTGAAACCTGCTGTACACTCTAAAAATTAAGGGTTCTTCTAAGATCTTCAAAGTTCTTCGAAGAACCTTAGGGTTCTTGGCACTGAAAATTGCACCCAAAAGGTTCTTCCAAGAACCCCATAGGTGGGGTTCATCGAGGAACCTCCTAAGTTGGTGGGCGTTCTTGCAGGAACCTAACTGCCCAACTGAAACATTTGGATTTGAATTTGAAAGGACAGCAGGTGCAGGCACTTAACTGAAAAATATAAAGATCTCCTCAATTTAAGGTAAGGTTTGTCCCTTGTATGATCTAAATTGATATTGTTTTCTGATGACACTATCCATCTTTTCATATTTGTGCAAATCTTTCTAAAACAGAAAATGGACACAATTCAATGGATATCAATCAACAAAGAGGTAAGAATATGTATTGTAGGCTATAAGAATATGTTGAAGGCTAGCTGTGTTGGGTGCAGATGACTGAACTGCTCACTTGTGTGTTTGTGTCTGCAGGTATACAGACGAGGAGGCATACAAAGGTATGTCAGTTGGTATTGGTATGTTATGCAGATCAGATTTACCATCCTCCTTTCTTACCGCTACAATGAATATCCCACAGGCCTCTACATTATGGACAAGGTATGTGTATGAAAACCATTATTAAAACAGTTTTTTCATTCACATTTACCTCAAAAGCCAAGGTATGAATACTGTCGTGTGCATGTTTTGTTAATCATCTGTATAATTACAATTTTTTGGATTCACAGACTTCATCCTCCCTACACCTCTGATGAATATAATAGGAAACCTGTTAGATCACCATGCACTGCTAAATCCTTCTGGCTATGGATATGGAGAACATCAACACATTAAGATCAACATGCCAGAGGATATAACCATTGGACTTGGGGCTCTGCTAGGAGTTTACCTTTGTATTTCTTTTTTTTATTCTGCTTTGCCACTAAAATCCTAATAAACACTGACAACTAAAATATTGTGTTATTGTTGTTATTGTTAAGCGTATTTATTACTAATAATCATAATAATAGGGAAGGGGGGAGTAGTTCCAAAATGAACCCCGAAAGGTTCTTCAAAAGGTTATTTGAGGATCCATTGAAAGGGGTTCTTTGAAGAACCCTTTTAAATAGTTATTCAAAGAACTTATAGGGGTTCCCCCACAGTTTCAATTTGAAGAACCCCTAAAGGATCCTCCAGGAACCTTTACTTTTTAGAGTGTAGATAAAACATTAGTCTCATACCAAGCAGCCATGGGGCACAGGAGTCCATGATGCCATCCTTGGCAGACTTGAGGATGGAATCCGGTAGGGGGATAGAGTGACGGACCATGGCTCCATACAGCCCATACTCTGCCATCACACTGCTGCGACCCCAGCACTTCTCCCTCTTCCTCCATTTGGCCCTGCGGTTCTGGAACCAGACCTGTAACCCAGGGGGAATTATTCAGTACCACTGATCAACACTGAAACTAGCAATATTCAGACACACTGACACTAGCAGCATCAATGAGTCCACTAACTGACAGACACCACCACCTTAACTGACTCTTGCACTGACATCACATTATGACACAGTTGTCCACCCCTTGAAAAATCCATCCCAATCTTTGGCAGACCTAATAGCCCTTTATGCCAATTCTGTTATATAATTTGTGAAAACTACATAACTTAATCGGGTCTTATTTCTCTCACTATATTTCCAGTTTATAGTCACTTCAGTGTTGTGTTTGTTTTGAGATCTCTGTAAGATCTCTTATGTAATGTGTGGTGATATAAGATACAACTGATGTGATTTGATTCAGCACATTGATTTCCCATACAGGCTGCTGGTGGTCTCTGAATGATCTCTGTCTTCTGTCAGTCTTTATCTCCCTCCAGCCTGAGGTAGTGTAGATGGATAGTGACTAACACATTAAGATACTTCACTTGCCCACTGCCAAGTGTGGAACTCCATGACTACTGGTTGGGGCCCCAGGCTATCTGTCAGCTCAGTGAGAGGCCAAATTGATTTCATAGCACAACACAGAGCTGTTAAACAGCCTTGGCCACTTCTGATGGCTGTATGTGGAGTGCAAAAAAAGAAGAGGGGCAAGCACAGAGATGTCTCGACTGTGGAGGGGGACCAGACATTCAATTGAAAATGATCAAAACCATTTAAAACCTTTTTTCTGGTAATTCTGATGATAGCCCTTATTTCATACAAGATGCTTTTTTATGAGAAATTGCTTCTCTGGCCCTCAAAGGAAGCCGAGGGAGAAGCTGCAAGCAGAAGCGACCCCTAGGGCACGCCGAGGCTGATTGAAAAATAAGTTAATTTCAAGCCCAATCGATGGTGGACAGGCGGGCAAATATCACGGGAAATTAAACGAGCTGGACTCGGGGGAGCGGCGCTATTGACCCGTGCTAATAAATTCAATGTAGTTATTTCATTTGAACTCCCCGCGTCTCGTGCAAGCCTCCCCCTGGAACAAGGCAAGCTCGTCTGATTTAACTAATTACAATCTATGAGAAAATTGGGTGTTAATTTTATTTAGGATTGGAATAGCCTACGGTTTTTTTTATTTATTTCCTTATTATTTTTTCGCGGCGAAGAGCCGTAATGAGAACGAAATTAAAAGGCGCTCAGGCAGATGGATGGTCCAGGTCACACCGCAATCTTCTTCCGCTTTGATAGCTTGATTAGGTCGTTAGTGCTCCTCTCCGAGAACAAATTGTTTCACATCCAACTGCGCCTGATGAGAGATGACCTGCTCTGGCGAGGATGCTGCTAGAGGTGTCTTTGACATCATTGATCGATTTACGTGGGCTCACTTGCATCCTCCGTAAAACATTATGGGGCTAACTATTTCGTCAAGTGCAGAGTAGGCTAGGCCTAGATCACTCCACTTTTCATTTTCTAGGCAATTCATTGTTTATTTAATACCTGCTTTATAGTCTGGGCCTAGGCTATTTAAATCCCACGGCTAAAGCAAAAAAAGATACGCCTGCCCTGCCTACAAGTTGAGACGAGCCTATTTCAATGTAAAGGCCCAGTGCAGTCAAAAGCGTGATTTTCCTGTGTTTTATATACAGGTAACTGCCAAAATAAAGGAAACTCCAATATAAAGTGTCTTAATAGGGCATTGGGCCATCACAAGCCGCCAGAGGCGCCAGGACAGCTTCAATGCGTATTGGCATATATTCTACAAGTGTCTGGAACTCTATTGGAAGGATGCGATACCATTCTTCCCCGAGAAATTCCATAATTTGGTGTTTTGTTGATAGTGGTGGAAAACGCCGTCTCATGCCCCGCTCCAGAATCTCCCATAAGTGTTCAATTGGGATGAGATCTGGTGACTGAGACACACACACACACCCTTTAAACCCACTATGCTCCTTTGAAACCCCTCTTTGAAAGTCACTAAGATCTCTTCTTCTAGCCATGGTAGCCAAAATAATGGGCAACTGGGCATTTTTATACATGACCCTAAGCATGACAGGATGTTTTAATTGCTTAATTAACTCAGGAACCACACCTGTGTGGAAGCACCTGCTATAATTTGAATACCTAATTTACTCAAGTGTTTCTTTATTTTGGCAGTTTTCTGTATATTTCCACACTATGAGGTTGGAATAATACTGTGAAATTGATGGTAATGCCCTTTTAGTGTAAGAGCTGTTTGAAAAGACTGCCTGAAATGTCAGCCTGTTTGGTGGGATGACATCACCACGAGCACTGGAGTGGAATGGTATCAAATACATCAAACACATGGTTTCCAGGTGTTTGATGCCATTCCATTTGCTCCATTTCGGCCATAATTATGAGACGATCTCCTCTCAGCAGCCTCCACTGACCAGGAGGTAAGTTATTTGTTACACTAATTTAAAGAGTTCCAAACCTCTCTGCCAATAACAGATAGTTTTCAGTTTTCCCCTGCCCACTCAGACCACTCACAGATAGTCCTAGCAACATTTTTGCTTGAGAAATTTATTTTGCTAAGAAGCTATTTTTGTTTGAAAACAATCACATTAAGGTACTTAATTGTTACACAGAAATGATTTGATATTGAGATAAAAACGGCTGCATCGGGCCTTTAACTGAGTTCTACACTGCATAAACCTCTTCAGCCACCAATTGTGTACTTTACTCTGTCCATGGACCCCAAAAACACCTTCTGCCCATTAAGGAATTATATGATATTCCACATTTAAAGGTAAATGTTTTTCCTGTGTTTTATATCATATTGTACAACAGCTGATGAAACTAGCACTGTACAAGTGTATGTAAATGTTTTTGATCAGTGTTATTTCCTGATAGTTTCTGGTTTAAAATACAATCTACACAGGACCTTCTAATCAGCAGGTTTGCATGGGCAGGAGTTTCGGCTTTCGATGGTGACTTCACCATGTGGTAATTGGTTAATAAACCAATAACAAAGAGAGTTCCAAACCTCTCTGCCAATAACAGCTAGTTTTCCCCTCCTCACTCAGACCACTCCTAGACAGTCCTAGCAAAATTCTTGCTTGAGAAATCGTTTTTTGCTAAATAGCTACTTTTGCCCATTTGAATGGAAATCTATTACAGTAAGGTACTTCATTGTTAGCCAGAAATGATTTGATATTTATATAAAAACGGCTTTAAGGCCCAACTGATCATTCATTTGTTAGTAAAATGACAACCATTATCATGTAAATTGAATTATGATTATTTTCAAGAGAATAATGCTAACAATACCAATACCAAAAGCAGATCACAGTCCCAATGTATCAATCAGTCCCAATGTATCAATCAGTCCCAATGTATCAATCAGTCCCAATGTATCAATCAGTCCCAATGTATCCAGTGACACATGTCAATAGTGCTTGCTCTAAGATGAATGCAGAAAATCTATTTTTAAAAAATATAAAAAATAACAATCACATTTCATTGGAGAAATACCTTTTACAAGTAGCACAGGTTCTCCTGTAGTACATCTTTTGGAGAGTAACATAATATGGCAGTTTGAGTTTCTTTGTAAGGACACTGAGTATGATGTAAAAAACAATATCTGACATAATATTCCAGTCATTTTATCCAGTAGATAAATAAAAAGAATAGGCTATAAACATGAATAATGCTGTTTTGAGACATTTAAATGCAATTGTAGTTTATGCTAATACATTGAATTAATGTGTGTTGGGGAGGAAGAACTCAAGTTTAAAAAGATATATATATCTGACATGATATACAATTAAAAAAAAACTGCCAACATGAACAGCCTGCTGTCATACCTGTATTCTGTCCTCTGGAAGCTCTGTTTTCATAGCCAGCATCTCTCTTGCATACACATCAGGGTAGTGGGCTTCATTAAAGGCCTTCTCCAACTCCTCAAGCTGGTAAGATGTGAATATGGTTCTGAAGAAATATTAAATATGTAAATTGTGTGCATAAAAAAATGGTCGTAAGGTGAATAAATAGGCAAGCTCGGTTGGCTATTTTTCATTTAAACAGATCAGATGTACAAATGCACACCTTCATTTGCACGTTGGCCCAATGCATGCCCGTACATCTTATATATCAAAGGTTTTGGTGGTATGCATTTAATCTTAGGTACATGCGAAACAATGGTGCATTTTAGAAATAAAGAAGGCCTAACTCTATGCAGCGACCCTCTCGTCCACATGTCATCCAAAAGCAGCTGCTAGATCATATTATTTCATTACAATAGAAAGTATTCAGTAGCCAATGCATGTAAGCCAGAAAGCAATGTGTAGGGATATTGCAGCATTTTCATGCATTCAGTAAGTGAGTACAAATAAGTGGATTAATAAAAAAAATCTTAGCAAAACATTTAGCAGGCTCTAATCCAGGGTTCTTCAATTCCGGTCCTGGAGGGCCGAAACACCTCTGTTTTTCATCCTCTCCTTCTAATCAGGGGCTAATTCAGACCTGGGACACCAGGTGAGTGCAATTAACTACCAGGTAGAAATAAAAAACAGAAGTGTTTCGGCCCTCCAGGACCGGAATTGAAGAACCCTGAGTCTAATCCCTTTTCTTATTTTATGCTGGTAGAAAGGAAATGATATTTTTCCATTTCAATGTCTCATCAAGGAATAATACAATCTTCACAGACTAAGCCTATATCATTATGAAACTTGTAATAAATAAAAGGTAGGCTATGTCCATATGGTGTACTATTAGGCCTATACACTCGATGGTAAAAAGTCTATATTCAAAATAGGCCTTGCATGATGAATTGACCCGGGTTGATTCGCAACAAAACGCTAATGCTTTCATACCTCAAAAAATATATACATCAAAATGAATTAACAAAAATGTATTAAAAAATACGGAAATGTTAGTGTAGGCTAGCCTGTAAATTCACACCTGTAGGCCTAAATCATTCAGTTGCTATATGGGAAAATTGGAATGCAAAGGCTATTAAATAAGGAAATGCGTTGTAAGCTTAATTGCATAAAAATCATGTTTATTAACTTTTTAAACATCTAGGCCTAGACCCTATTCAATTTAATTCCATGTTTGTTACAAGGTTATTAATATTGGCCATGGACAAGCTGTTTGTCATCTCAGTAATTAGGATAGGCTACTTTTTCAATACTTCAATACATTTTCTACTTTTTCAATCTTGTTATAATAGCCTTCACAAAATCCAAAATAGTTGTTCTTGAATTAAGACAGTTCAAAAGCCCTAAACAAAAAACGAGTGTCGTTAGGCCACAAAAAAAAAAGATGAAACGTGAGCTTCAGAATTATAAGTTATTAGACTATAGCGTTCTGATCAACAATAATAGGCCTATGATGTGTTGGAATGCAACACCTACCGGTGCCTTCTTTTCTTCCGTTTCTTGCTCTGGCTTAATGAGTTCTTTGAGAGTTTTCGTTCACTTGATGACAAATCTTCTGAGTCTGTGAATATTAGAAAACGTGGCAATAACATGAATGACTCGCTTGAGGAATTAGACATATTCAATCTGTTATCACAATTGTAGTGTTGAAATTGAGTAGGCTAAGAAACAACATCTAACGCAGATGTTATCATTATATTCTGTTCTTGTTATATTACTGACATAAGTAGCCTATTTTTATTATTGTTAGTATAATTGTATATTATAAGCTGGCTATGGTTATCCTTTGTGCTTTTAAAGTTCAGCCTAATAATAATAATACTAGCCTACAACTACTCGTAGTCTACTACTACTACTGCTACTACTAGCCTACTACTACTACTACTAATAATAATACTAGGCTAACTACTACTACTACTACTAATAATAATAATAACTAGGCTAACTACTACTACTACTAATAATAATAATAATAATACAACTGTATATTTTAAGTCTTTAATGTAATGACAACGACTGCAATTCCTACCCGAACTGGCGGACTGGCTGTGGTCCAGAGGTCCCACAGTTCTGTTGTGGGGCTGCAGGTGAACGTTTTGCGCATCTTGCAGGACCTCCAAAAACGCTGGTTGCCTGTAGAATGGAATCCCTCCAGGCCCAATTAATCCCATCCCAACTCCTACACCAGTGGGGCCAAGCATTGACCTGGCGGCAAGCAGATGCGCCCCAACTGGCAGTGATTGCAAGGCGCTCCTCGGGGCCGCCGAAGGCTCTTTATTCAGCCCTAAAATCTCCTGTATCCCGAATCCCGTGCATCTGGGAGGGTGCGTGGCGCTGTTCTTTGATTGTTTGTGCAGGCTGTTATTCCCTCCGTTAGCACCGATAGAGGACGTTTTGGATATATTCAACGTTTCCGATAGCACCGCAGCTCCTTGTTTACCTGTCATGGTGTCTTCGATAGTTGGCCTATTCCCTATTTGTATCGGCTCACAGGTCGGTCCCCAGTGCACTAGCCACGATGTATCACTCGAGACTCTAAAATGGTCCTTTTATCCAACAGGTCCATTCCAACAAGAGTCAGAGCCCAGCAGCCAATCAGCTACGAGGGATTTTTCCGGATTCCTGCGCATCAAGCATTATTACGCGCCTTTGGAAACGGTTTATTCCCAAATAACTGATATATTATCAGGCTATAGGTAGGCTACATTAACCAGCGTCAGGATAACCCAAAACGCCTGCGGATAAAGAGGATGAAACAGGTGGACTGAGTTGAAGAATGTAGGCTAATACGAAGCCATGCTATCCATCCAATGTATTGAAAAAAAATGCATCAAGGAAGATATAGCCACACGCCGTTTGCAATGTTTTTCGTTGATATGTGTGGTCGTTTATACTGTATGTAGAATATGACAATTATTCTGGTATTTAAACGTGATCTCGATATTATAATAGTTTCATGCAGGATTATTTTTTTTTAAGGGGATTGAATCGACCAGGGCCTGGATTAAGTTACCAATTTCATAAAATTAAAATGCATGTTAGTCGATGTTTAGGCTATTAGCCTCTTCATTTAATATATTTCAGACCAGCTTCTATTGCTAGTTCCTTCTTCTATGATCTCCATGTCCATCCGTTGCCTCACATGAACGGATAATTGATCTCCAGATGCTACAGAGGAAACCACACAGAAATCAAAGCCTCTCCAAAACGACAGCTGGACGCGAACACACATCTCTGCCTCGCTTTATTTCACATGAGAAATGGAAAATTAGGAAATAATCTGGGCTACCAATGCGTAGGCCTATTAGAACCTATTTATTAAACAACATGGTGTCTAATTAACTATATGCAAACAAAACAAAAGCAACATTAGCCTGACGCATGGGGAGCATGCTAAACATGCGTACACGCATGTTCATAAAGTGCAATCAAATTAATAAAGATGATTACCATTATCAAACATTTCACAATTTTATCGGATGTTTAATGTGTTATATACATTTCTTTATTTGTCTTGCTAATGGGTTTTCCTTTCAATTCACATTCTAATCCCCGGTGCAATCCAAAGCAATTTAACTCTGTGTGGAGGCTTTGCAGCCTATTTGTAATGCACAATTCGCTTAGTTTAGATAAAGGCAGTTTATGTTTAATATTTGGAGAGAACATGTAGGCAGGCCTATTGTATCTTAACGTCACAATCTATTTCGACTATTTTGTTCGAAATTCTATCGAATTAGGCTATTTGAAAAACATTGATTTTATATCAATTAAATAGGCATTATTCTTATAATTGTTCAACAATAAATTAGATTAGATAGCCACCCTTTCTCCTTGCAATATCATTCCTTATCCTATATCTCAGAGGTATTTTCCACATAATAAATCGTTTCATTTGAGACGAATAGTATACTACATTTGGTTCAATTCACAAAGTAGCTTACTTAGTTAGTTTCGAATATAATGACACGTTTAATCACATTGATCTACTGAGCAGTTATAGAGTATACAAAAATAATGCTTTCAAATGTAAACTAACATTTTGAAAATATGTATATATAAAATAAAATGTTATTGGTCACATACACATATTTAGCAGATGTTATTGCAGGTGTAGCGAAATGCTTGTGGTGTAGCGAAATGCTTGTACATGGCAGCCTTATTTAGTCAATACTGCATGGACACAAATACATTCCCTTATTGTGAGCAGGTTTACGATTAGGCCTACTTGTGAACAGCTCCATGTATCAAGTAACTCATACAACCCTTGTTTTACGTATAGGGATTGGATGCGTTTGGAGATGTGTGTGGGACAATTTGGACATCTGGACAGATAATTACACCCAGATAATTTATGGAAATGAGCTGAAACTATCTGAGGGGGACAAAGCTAACTCCGATCTTATCTAAGTGCCACGTGGTAATAGATTCATAAATGTCCTGGTTTAAAGGAGAAAATAAGCGCGTCAGGTGCCCCAGAAACACAATAATGGCCAATTATTATGCCTACTTAGTTATTCCACAAGAAATGACACATGCTGATTCGATGGGAACTTGTTGTTATTGTGGATGTGAAATTTACGGATGATGTCCAGCCATGACTATTGATAGAGACATAATCCCGTTTGAGCCAGGTGTGGGTTATCAGATTTATAAACAAGACACTTCATACCATTAGCCTACATACAGGCTCTCTGATTTATGTCAGGCGAATACCGACCTATCCATGGCTACAGAGAGGTTCATACAAGATATCAATTACAAATTTGAAGATAACCCCATTTCGATGTAGATACAGTGCCTTCAGAAAGTATTCATACCCCTTCACTTATTCCACATTTTGTTGTGTTACAGCCGGAATTAAAAATGTATGAAATATATATTTTTTTTCCCCCCATCTACACACAATACCCCATAATGACAAAGGGAAAACATGTTTTTAGACATTTTTTCAAATGTATTGAAAACGAAATACAGAAATACACATCCAAGTCACCACTTTGTAGAAGCACCTTTGGCAGCGATTACAGCTTTCCACACCTGGATTGTGCAACATTGTCCCATTATTCTTTTCAAAATTCTTCAAGCTCTGTCAAATTGGTTGTTGATCATTGCTAGACAACCATTTTCAGGTCTTGCCATAGATTTTCAAGTAGATTTAAGTGAAAACTGTAACTCGGCCACTCAGGAACATTCACTGTCTTTTTGGTAAGCAATGCCAGTGTAGATTTGGCCTTGTGTTTTAGGTTATTGTCCTGCTGAAAGGTGAATTCATCTCCCAGTGTCTGGTGGAAAGCAGACTGAACCAGGTTTTCCTCTAGGATTTTGCCTGTGCTTAGCTCCATTCCATTTCTTTTTTATCCCGAATACAAGCATACCCATAACATGATGCAGCCACCACTATGCTTGAAAATATGGAGAATGGTACTCAGTAATGTGTTGTATTGGATTTGCTCCAAACATAACACTTTGTATTCAGGACAAAATATTAATTGCTTGCCACATTATTTTTGCAAAATTACTTTAGCGCCTTGTTGCAAACAAGATGGATGTTTTGGAAAAGTTTTATTCTGTACAGGCTTCCTTCTTTTCCCTCTGTCAATTAGGTTAGTATTTTGGAGTAACTACAATGTTGTTGATCCATCCTCAGTTTTCTCCTATCACAGCCATTAAACTCTGTAACTGTTTTAAAGTCATCATTGCCCTCATGGTTAAATCGCTCAGCGGTTTCCTTCCTCTCCGGCAACTGAGTTAGGAAGGACACCTGTATCTTTGTAGTGACTGGGTGTATTGGTACACCATCCAAAGTGTCATTAATAACTTCATCATGCTCAAACGGATATTCAATGTCTGCTTTTTCATTTTTACCCATCTACATATAGGTGCCCTTCTTTGCGAGGCATTGGAAAACCTCCCTGGTCTTTGTGGTTGAATCTGTTTGAAATTCACTGCTCGACTGAGGGACCGTACAGATAATTGTGTGTGGGGTACAGAGATGAGGTAGTCATTCAAAAATCATGTTAAACACTATTACTGCACACAGAGTGAGTACATGCAACTTTTATGTGACTTGTTAAGCACATTTTTACTCCTGAACTTATTTAGGCTTGCCATAACAAAGGGGTTGAATACTTATTCACTCAAGACATTTCAGCTTTTCATTTTTAATTAATTTGTACACATTTCTAAAAACATAATTCCACTTTGACATTATGGGGTATTGTGTGTAGGCCAGTGACAAAAAACCCTCAATTTAATCCATTTTAAATTCAAGCTGTAACACAGCAAAATGTGGAAAAAGTCAAGGGGTGTGAATACTTTTTGAAGGTACTGTAAATAGCCATTAGGGCATTGCAATTTGTGTGTCAAAAAGGAAACGTTTGGTAAAATGGTTATTCTGGTAGGCTAAATGGTATTCTGTTGTTGAGTTAATCTAGAAATGTTTGATTATGGCCATATCAGTACATCACTGGGGCCAAGCTTCCTGCCATCCAGGACCTCTATACCAGTCGGTGTCAGAGGAAGGCCCTCAACATTTTCAAAGACTTCAGCCACCCTAGTCATAGACTGTTCTCTCTGCTACCGCACTGCAAGCGGTACCGGAGTGCCAAGTCTAGGTCCAAAAGACTTCTCAACAGCTTCTACCCCCAAGCCATAAAACTCCTGAACAGCTAATCATGGCTACCCGGACTATTTGCACTGTCCCCCCCACCCATCTTTTTACGCTGCTGCTACTCTGTTAATTATTTATGTATAGTCACTTTAACTCTACCCACATGTACATATTACTTCAACTACCTCAACTAGCCGGTGCCCCCACACATTGACTCTGCACCGGTACCCCCCTGTATATATAGCCTCCCTACTGTTATTTTATTTTACTTCTGCTCTTTTTTTCTCAACACTTTTTTGTTGTTGTTTTATTTTACTTTTTTATTAAAAAATAAATGCACTGTTGGTTAAGGGCTGTAAGTAAGCGTTTCACTGTAATGTCTGCACCTGTTGTATTCGGCGCATGTGGCCAATACAATTTGATTTGATTTGATCTAGTCAATGGGGTGAATGAGACATGGATGCTAAAACAAAATAAATATTGTAAACTACATCAAACAGTTAAAATTGAGCCACTGATTAAGAGGGAGAAAAACATTACCGCTACAATTATTCGATCACCAGATTAAACTAATTAGGAGGCTATTAAGTGGAAATTTCATTACGGGTAATGAAGAAATCAGTGTTATCAGGATATACTAATGACGCATCAGCCAGTCGAGATAAACCCATCTATTCACATGGAACTGTGAGTCAGGATGACCTGTCAATTACACCGCGTGTTCCTGCCCTCACTCCACTTCTGTTGCAATCTATCGAGGATTTGTTGTTTATTGTTGCAAGAGATTCTCTTTCTCATTATGGCTTTTAATAATCCATCTCCATTTGAAAATGACTC